CAAAAGATTTAGGACAATCAAATAATCTTTGGATAGAAGAACAATTCTGGAAAAATTGCACTACCTAATATCAAGACTGTGTAATGCTAAAAAGAATCAATACAACATAGCACTGGCATAAAGATAGACAAAGAAATCAATGAAACACAATAGATTGTATAGAAAGAGACTCACACATAATCAATAGATTTTTAATAAAGATACCAAACAATGCAAAGAGGAAAAGAAAACATTTTCAACAAACTTGCTGAATGTGAAAACAAAATAAATTTCAAACCCTACCTGAAATAATATATAAAACTTAATGTGGGAGGAGGGTGGATGAAAGAATGTGAAGGGATTAGCCAAGGAATATACATGCATAACCTATAGACACAGATAACAGTGTGGTGTTGGCCAGAGGGAGGGAGTGGAGAAGGGGCTAGGGCTGAGTGGAAGTGGGCAAAGGAGGGAAGGGGGGAAAAGGATATTTGTAATAGTATAAACCAATAAAATAAAGTTTAAAAAACTAATTTGAGATATGTCATAATCATATATGTAAAAGCAAAAATAATAAAACTTATAGAAGAGAACATATAAAATGCCTTTGATCCTAGACAAAGATTTTTTAGATGGGGCACATAAACAATAATCACAAGAGAAATGAGATAAAGTAGGCTTCCATAATTTAAATGTCTGCTCACCATATATTCTTTAAGAAAATAAAGAGTCAAGTCACCATCTAGGAAAAAAATATTAGCAATGCATATATCTGACAAAGAATTATATTGATAATATGTGAAAATCTTCTACTTACTACTCAATAATAAAAAAGGCAAACAAACAAATTTTGAAAAATAAAGATAAAAGACGTGAATAAATATTTCTCAGTGGAATATAGACAAACGACCAATAAGCACATTTTAAAAGTGCTTCACATGTTGATCAATATGGAAACACAAATTAAAGCAATAATTAAATACTCTCCTATGCTCAGGAGAGTGGCTAAAGTATAAAGACTGATGAATAGAAATGTTGGTGAGAATATGGAATGCATACAGAGTAGTTTCCTCTTATCTGTAGGAAATAATGTTCCAAGAACCTCCAGTGGGTGCCTACAACCACAGGTAGCACCTTCACACACACCCTACCCTAGATGTATGTACATACCTAAGATAAAGTTTAATTATAAATTAGGCAAAATAAGAGGTTAACAACAATCCAACCTAATAAAAGAGAAACATGCAAATTAATCACACCTTCACTATGCCAAAGCCCCGCCCACCAGCCAATCAGGGTGAGTATGCAAATTAACCCAACCAAGATGGTGGTTAATTTACATATCCAGGCCAGGGCAAAGACTGAAGACAGCATACAAAGAAGCCAAGTGCTGTAGAGAGCGAAGCTGTGGAGAAGCAAGCAAGCAGGGCAGCTGGGAAGGAAGGAAGGCAGGCAGGGCAGCAATTGCAGCAGGAAGCCCTTTTGCAGGAATTTTCCTGCAAAGGGCATCTAGTAAGTAATAATAAAATTAAACAATTAGAACAATGTACTGTAATAAAAGTTATGCAAAAGGCTTTGAGGCCATTATTAAGTAAAATAAGGGTTACTTTAATGCAAGCACTATGATACCACAATAGTTGATCTGATAACCTATCAATAGATGGCTATGAAGTGACTAAGGGGTTGGGGAGCATACACAGGATGCACATGCTAAACAAAGAGATGAGTCACGTCCCAGTCAGGACTGAGCGGGATTGCACAAGATTCCATCATGGTACTCAGGGGAGTGCGCAATTTAAAACTTATGAATTGTTTCTGGAATCTTCCATTTAATGTTTTCAGACCATGGCTTACTATGGGTAACTGAAACCAGGGAAAGTGAAACTGTGGATAAGGGGAAACTACTGTTTGTTTCAATAATGCAAAATAATGAAGCTACTTTGAAAAAAAATTTTTTTGGCAGTTTCTTATATAGTTAAAAACACCCAACTTATGGCCCACAAATTCTACTCCTAGGGATTTACCAAGAAAAATAAAAGGAATGTTCATGAAAGTTTTATTCTAAATAGTACCCCCCAAAAAAAATCAAGAGGAGAATGGATATTAAAACTGTGGAATTTGGGAATTGGGATAGAATATACTCTGTAATAAAGAGAAAATGGATACTCTGCTTTATATGCACCAAGTGGATACATTTCAAAAACAATAAGCTGTGCAAAAGATGTCAGATACACACACACACACACACACACACACACACACACCAAAAAAAAAAACAAAAAACATACTTTCTGCTTCCATGTCAATGAGGTTTTAGAATAGGCAAAACCAATCTATGGTGAAAAAATCAGAAAAGTGGTTCCCTGAAGTGGGAGGCTAAGATTGACTGGAAAGGGGCACATGGAGATTTTCTCAAGTTGGAGAAGCTGTGTATCTTGACAGGGGTATGAATACACAAGTATTTGCATTGTTAAAACTCACTGAACTGTAACACTTAATGAATGCCTTCTCATTTGACAATATGTAAAATATACATTTTTTAAATTAGAGAAATATAATAAACAATTCCCTGTAAAAATTATTTAGTCAGGATCCTTTTAGAAATGAAAATGATTGCCATATTAAGAATGTAGAATTTTAGGTGACTTTTAAATTTTGGAGTTATTTTTTTATTTGTTTGGTTGGTTTTTTGGGGGGAGGGGGTTTGGTTATTTATTCAGCAATTATTGAGTACCTACTATGTGGCTGTCACATTTCTAGGTGTTTTGACCACATCAGTGAGCAAAACAGATTGAAATGCCTACTTTCAAGTTGACAAAAATCTATAGGGGAAAGTAGGGTTAAAATAGATTATTAGGAAAACCATAATACACAAGTAAATGTATTGTTTAAAAAATTGAGACACACTGAGAAAGAAAGTCTCTGACAGTGCCATATGATGTCCAACTGCTTGAAACCATTTTCTAAAAAGTTATGGTTATGCCTTTATTAACTGGTTAGCACTTTTGTCCTGATTAATTGATTAGTCATGTATTAGAAACACTTCAGAAACAGGGATGTGTGTGTGTGTGTGTTAAAATGTGCTGAGTTATCATCATTGTTTTATTCCTCAAGCTTTTGTAATATTTAATGCCTGAATAAATATCAAGATGTCACCTGGGGTAGGTGAGAGGGTTGGTTTCAAGGACACTGTGTTCAATGCTAATTGCATTTCATGTGGTACCAAGTCACAGTCACACTGAGTTTCCAAGTCAAAGTGCAGCTCTTTTTGTCTTCTCTGTAAAAGGTAACAGAATTCAGGCACCCAAGTCATTAAGATGTGATTGTACATAAAAGAAGCAGCTCTGATAATTCAAAATTGACAAGAAGAATATGTTCTAGGAATAACTTTTCTCTAAGTCATACTATCTGGCACAGAACACGCATAAAGCCCTCGTTTTCTCCTTCAGTGCCCTGCCGTGAAAGAGTGACTGAGCCAGCTTGTTATCTGCCAGGAACAGTGAGTGGTGGGCAGGCCTTCAGCTATGGAGAGACTCAGACTGAGAACATAAGAAATCCCCCAATGAAAAGCAGTAACAACAGCAATGGAAAAGTTTCTGCAATGAGATTATTCAACATAGAAAAAACACTAAGGCCCATGTTACTTTTCTTCAGCTAGAAAACATACACAAAAGTAAAGTATTGTTTGCTCTTCTTTGTCATTTTTAAACACATATCTTGGAATAATCAGTTCCTACTCAAGTTTTGTATATGTACCAATGGACTTCCAACCTTAAATACATGCAGCAACAGAGGATTCAGAATAACATGCTTATTTGCCAGCTAACTGCTTCTCTTTCCCTGCCTCTTTGCCTACACATATATAATTCTGCTCAGAGGGAATTCTGCTGAAATGCTATCCACATTCTAGTTCCAAATGAAGTCCCTTTCCTTGGGGGAGTGTTCCTCACCAGCATCATTAGAAGTGCCCTGTCCCTCCTTTCAGCTCACACAGCATGACTTCTGCTCCACTTACTTGGTCTAGAATTGTAACGGATTATTTCCTGACTACAATTATCCCTTTTGGAGGCTCATAGCGTGGTTGGGGGATAATCAGAATTGTAGGCTTTACACACAGAACCCAATTTCAATCTAGGTTACATTTGGAAAATTGATTTGTAAATGTTATTACAGCTATGACCATGCCCTAGCCAATTCATAAAAGCTTATCACACCCAAACAATATCTGACGTATATTGTCAATAGCACCCTTCACATATATAATGTTTCCCATATATGTGATTGTGTTCTACACTGTCAACATTAAGCTGATTAAAAATGTTTAGGTGATCAAAAGTGCTTAAATGGTTATTGATAATGAAATATTCTATAAAGCTCCACAGTTTGGTATATGGCCTCCTAAGAAATCCACAGGACTAATTTTTACCCTACAGCTTCCAGGTTTCTGCCCAACAGCTGCTGGGAAAACTTAAATGAACTTTGAATGTTGTATGGCTTCCATCAATTAAGAAAATACCTGTCAAAATGGGGTGGGATAGCTGGTATTGACTATAACATGGCATGCAGCAACAACTTGCATCAGTTTCCAGGATATTTCTATTAAAGGGACTTGGGTTTGCTTTAAGCCATCAAAGGAAGTCATTGTATTGTCCTGTTTGGGCCGAATTCATAATAGCACAAAAGTTTAAAATAAGATCATGCTATTTGGCTTTTTTTTTAGCATCTTCTCTCATACTGTTCATATACAAAGTATTCATTAGAGAAGGTGTTTAAATATAAAGTAGAAGAAAAAATATCTGGTTTATGGATGGGTGACTTTGATCTGCAAAATAGTCAATAAAAATAGGGAAATAAACTCTTTGAAACAAAGGAGATCACAAAAATTGAGCTAATTTTCTGCTCATTTCCTTTTTCTCCTATTCCTTTGGATGAACCTACTTAGTAAGAATAATCATGCCAATTTGTGAAAACAAACCTTTCTCTGAAAGCCCAGTTCTGGGGTAGAAATTAGTTTCTCTTACCTCTTAGTTCCCCCATGTCCAGAGTTGTCCCAAGTTGTTCTAATAAAGCAACTCTTGCCGCATTCTTTTTGTGTTTCTTCCCATCATAATGTTGCTGGGCCATCAGGGGATTATTAAACCAGGCTGCACAGAGTCCACAATATCTGTCTGAATCTCTTCTTTGATAGGGCGATGTGACCACTGGAGCAGTGTCCACCCTGGGAGGCTTAAGTGAGCTCAGGGGGGTTGCTGTGGAGGCAAACAACCAGAGAGAAGTACAAGACAGGTTAGTACACTTGTTCTCAGTCTCTGAAGGTGGAAGAATCTCATGGTCATTGTAAAGCTCAAAAATCCAAGAGTTTATTGAAAGCAGAAAAATAATCTATGCCAGCCTTTGTTTTTGAACTTGGGATACAACTGAAAATTCTGATAGTTCAGGATATGATTCCTTCAAAAGAAAGAATTTTTTTAAATAAACTCTTGAGATAGGGAATGATCTGCTAATCAAATTGAAGCAAACTCTGAAACAAATATTGAATGGTCATCAAATGAACGAACGAATGAATGAATGAATGAGATATTTGTGTCATAAGTAGAAATCACCAATAAATAAATGATTTGCCCAAGTGATAGCAAATATTTCAGTGATATGGACTGTACCAATTGACAAAGTCATGCTAATTTTACTCTAAGTTACTTCTGTTTACTGTGACATGTTATTTTCAACTTATACCTGCTAACATTGATGTTGAAAATACATTTTTAATACCAAGAGACACCACCGAGCACGCATTGCTTCTCTAAACTGAAAAGGCATTTATCGCTATTTTGAGATTCCATTCCCAATTATTAATTTAACACATTCCATTGTGAACTATAGTTATTTTTGGTCCAGAAAAAAATGAACCCAACTTGATGTTTACTAAGATAAAAAAATAATAATAACAACTTCTTAATGTCTTATACCATGCACTTTGCTTTTAGCTTCAAAATAACATATCAGATTATTATCTCTGGTGATGAATTTCAGAGGCACCAAATGATTTACTGAAGGTGAGATAACCAGTTACGGTAAAGGTAGGACTCCAAACCAAATCCTTTGTTTCCAAAACCAATATTCCTTTTGCTACCCCTAAGTACTTTTCATACTTCTTATTAAGCAAAGAGATTTGTTTTTTCTAGACTTCAGTCATCTATTTTATATTTAATTTAATTTAATTAAGAAGAAAATTTCTGTTCCAAATATTTTGATGAAGACAAAAAAATGTAAATTGTCACATAGCCCAGCAGTTATAATGTCATGCAGGAGTACTTTCTGCTTGTTCTTCCCCTCTGTGATTTGGAGGGCAGCTGAATGCCATTCAAGGAAAAGCTCAAATATGAAAGCTCAATAAAAAGATAAGCAACCACTTAATTAACCCTCCAAGCTTTCAAGTAACTTTTGTGTAAACTTATATTTTTTAGATTAAATAACTGATATAGAAATAAATATTTGATAAATGACACTTTAATTCAAGAAATGCTTACAGTGGAACAATATCTCAAGAAAGTATTTTCCTCTCTACTCAGAGATTTCATCAGGCAAGAATGTTTTAACCAGCTTGGATGAAACAATGGTATTATTCTCTAAGAGAAATAAGGACTTAGAAAAATAATACTTCTTTTAAAAGTTCATTGCCAGATTTAATCATAAATCACGATGTGAAACTAAAGCTCAAATGTGGGCCTTGCCATCCTGGCAGTCACCCAGGGTCATTCTGCTGTGACTTAGAAATTCTAATAAGAAGCTACAAATATGCAGTTGACCTGCATGGGAAAGAACTTCTATCCACTTTCCTGAAGGAAATTGGATTTTGCTTCCAAAGTTTCTTGCATCCTTATCAATTTTTGAGGATTTATAGCTGCCTGTTGTTTTTGATGACAATAGAAAACATATAAAATGTTTGCAATCTGAATGAATTTTGACTCTTGAAGCACAATTTACTTCCCTCTAAACTCGACCCTAAAAAAACAGTTCAGAGTCAAATTTATCAATTGATACTTTATGCACCATATTTTAGCAGGAGTGATGCACAATAGAATATTTGTCAAATAAGATAATCTTATCTTGCATTTAAGAGTGTAATTTGAGGCTGTGTCTGTTCTAGAGCTTCTCCTCTTTAATAATTCTGTCCTCTGTATAGCCCCAAAATTTAATTTTCTTATGCTTTGTTTCCAACTGTCTTCACCAATCTCAATTCAGTTTATATTTCATATAAAGGCAAACTAAGCAGTATGAGGGGAATGAAAAGATCTTTGAATCAAAAGATCTTTGAGTTGGACTCCTCCACCACTGAGCTGTGTGGCACACATGCCAATCTACCGAGAAGTAGGAGTGGCCTATTTCTGTGTATTTCAGAGAGGGGAAATATGCACATCATTCTAGAAAGCTTACTTTCACACAGGAAGCCATCTACTCTGCTTTTATTATTATTATGGCATCTAGACATCACTCCAAGCTTCGGCCTGGTACCAACCACCCTAGTTTGCCTACGACTGAGAGGGTTCCCAGGATGTTTGCTCTTTCTGAGCAAACGGGAATGAGTTGGTCACCCAGGTTCTGGGTCAGACCTGATTTAACATCACCATGGAGAAAAAGGAGTTAGTGAAAAGTTTGGCAACAATTGTTCAAGAGCCTAGAGCAGGTGTACTAGAACAGAGAGGACCCACCAATAGATTTCAAAGCTTCATTTGTCAGATCACCAAGTGGGTGTCCTTAGTGAGATTAGGGGGTAACACAGTCAACAGACAATGGGATTCTCACCTACCCATCTATCTTCTGAACCAGGGACATGGGGTACCCTTCAACTCCCACACCTAAGTCTTCTACTAACATTTTCTTCTCTCTCTCTCTCTCTCTCTCTCTCTCTCTCTCTCTCTCTCTCTCTCTCTCTCTCTTTCTCTCTCTCTCTCTCTCTCATTTTCTAGGTTTTAGGATAATGAAAATTATCCCATTCTCAAAAAATATTTGGGAACTTTTGAAATAGTTTAAGGAATTTACTCATTTGAAAAGATGAGGTTTTCTCACCTAAGGTATTCATATCCATAATGCAAATTAACCTAAATTGTGTGATATTCTTTATTCTGAAATTAATACATTATATCTAGTTCATGTATTTTCTTTAGTTTCCCCCAAATTCCATTTGATCAATGAGGTAGCTTGAAGTTCAGGGGGATCAATCAATTAGTATTAAGACCCTAATAAAAAAGAGCAATGGAAATAGCAAAGACCAGATCTTGGGATTTGAAGACCAATACTGTATTTCAGTGTCAACTGGTTTCTTATGATGCTCAGGAAGCAATAGGCCGAGTAAACATACAGATAAACCGTAGAGTCAGACATATTTTCTAGGCTTCAACACTTGTTCTCAGTGGGGATTACTTGGAAATATGCACTGTTTCTAAAATAATTTTTCTGATTTCTAGTCCCTCTGATAAACTGCCCTCCCCTCCTCTTTTTTTTTTCTACTCTAAATCAAAATAATAATGACAATAGGAATTCTTCAGCAAGTATCACTGTTTTTTCTGCAAATGCTGTTAAGAGTCCAATTTGACTGGGTCAGCCATTGCTGGCCTGAGGAGACAGCTGTCAGTGTAGATTGACAACTCAGTTTCCAAGCAGGCCCGAGTTTCCTGTAGGAAAACGCTAAACGCAAACTGTGCAAAGTCTTGGCTCAAAGCAGATTTTCTTTGTACCTCTCACAGAGGAGGTGTAGATGGCAGATACTCAACAAGCACATGAAAAAATAGATGAAAAACAAATACTAGTGAATTTCAGTAAATATATCAACTCAGGGGATTTTTATGTTTTAATAAATAACTTATGAAAGCTAAATTTTAAATCTTTAATGATTTCATTAATCTTATTTTAAGGGATTAAAAATAAATTAGATGAGCCCAAACTGCATGGCTTAGTGGTTAAGCATTGACCTATGAACCAGTAGGTCACAGTTTGATTCCCTCTCAGGGCACATGCCTGCGTTGCCAGCTCGATCCCAAGTTGGGGGCATGTAGGAAGCAGCCAATCAAGAGTTCCCTCTAATCATTGATGTTTCCATCTCTTTCTCTCTCTCTCCCTTTCTACCTGAATTTAATAAAAATATATTTTTAAACAAAGAAAAATAAATTAGATGATAAATTAAATATATTGTGTATATCTATATTCTGAAATATCAGGCAGTAATAAGGAAATCAGTGGTTTTTGTTTTTTTTTAATGTTTGGGATATAAAGTAAACTCAAAGATATGGTTTAGCTCTGGAAAGTATGGTTCAATTGATTGAGCATTGTCCCATGCACTGAAGGATTGCTGGTTCAATTCCCAGGCAGGGCACATGCCTGGATGCAGCCTTGATCCCCAGTCAGAGTGGCCAATTGGTGTTTTGCTCTTGCATCAATGTTTCTCTCTCCCTTCCTCTGCCTTCTGCTCTTTCTAAAAATTAGGAAAAATATTTTAAAAATGATATTGTTTACTAGTATATGTAGGGTATAAACCAAATTACTTATTATTAAATTATACAAACACATGCAACTATACATAAAGACGAGAAGGTTATAAATGAAAATCTTAGCAACAATTGTTTCTAAGCTGTGGATTCTGGGTGATTTGTTTTATACTCATAGATATATACTCATTGCTGCAGAGGGAGAACATTTATATTTTATCACTTATACATGGGCCATATTTCATGCTAACTTATTTTAGTGCAAAGTCTAGACAACACTGCTTAGGGGACTTGTGGTGCCACAACTAGGTCTTAAATTAAATCTCAGAAGATTTTATTTGCAATGATTTATTTATTAATTTATTATTGATTTGGGGGAAGAAATGGGCTGGAAAAAATGCTGGCTTAGTCAGAATTTGATGTGAAAGACCCTATTACATCTCCTACTTTTCCAAAAGATACAGGGAAAGCCATTTCTCCACTGTATAGCAGATCCAAAAATGGCTCTAATTATTCTGATAAAATAAAGAATCTCTCTTCCTTCTCATATGATATGCTTGAAATTAAATTCTGTTACCCAAGGCTCTAAGGGGGAGAAGGGGGAGGGGAGAGCATGGGCTAATTTTTTCTATGCCATGAAGGAAATTAAATCAATTTTCCCGTGCTCCAAAGTATGAGCCATTAAACACTTCCAGAAAGTAAACAAAGATGAGATGACCTAGCGGAAACATCATCCCAACTCAATTTTGTATCAACATTCTAAATAT